GGGGCACAGCTTCTTCCACTTCCTGCTGCTGCCACGCCTCTACCTGCTCTTCCTTCACCCGCCCCCAACAGGTTCTCCCTAGGTAGGACACTGGGGACAGCAACACAGGAGCCACCGCACCCCACTCAGGGAGTCCCTATTGGGGGCTTTGCCCTCAGCCCCACCCAAGCTCAGCCTACCGCCACGCCTAATTTTATTTTTTTTAATATTTTTTAACCATCGACCATATCCACACGATAACCAAGCTCATTGAGGTTTCTCGGGAGTTTAAGATGCCGCTCTGTCTAACGTTCATTGATTTAAAGAAGGCCTTTGATTCTGTTGAGACGGAAGTGGTCATTGAAGCCCTAGCCAATCAGGGCATTCATACTCAATACATCAGGATTCTCCGTGAGCTGTATTGCGGATTCACTACCAGGATCTCACCATTTTACAAAGAAGTGATCATCGATGTCAAGAGAGGTTTGGCAGGGTGATACCATTTCACCGAAACTCTTCAGTGCCACCCTCGAGAACATCATGCGATGACTGGAATGGGAAGGAATGGGAGTGAAGATAGATGGTCGGCAACTACACCACCTCCGCTTTGCTGATGACATTGTTTTAATAACACCAAACATCAGCCAAGCGGCACAAATGCTGGCCGACTTTGACCATGAGTGTGGAAAGGTAGGACTACAGCTGAATGTTACGAAGACAATGTTTATGAGAAACAGCCTCATTCCTGACGCCCCATTCGCTCTCAACGGAACAACCATCTCCGAATGCAACAGCTATGTGTACCTAGGTCGAGAAGTCAACATGACAAATGACCTGGCACCCGAGCTGCGCAGGAGGAAGAAAGGGGGTTGGAATGCCTTCAAGAACGTCGAAGAAATAACTAAGAGGATGAAGAACCTCCGGCTCCGGGCACATCTCTTTGATTCCACTGTTCTTCCTGCATTAACATATGCCTCAGAGACCTGGGCCCTACGTAAACAGGATGGGAATGCCATTCGGGTCTCCCAAAGAGGAATTGAAAGAGCTATGCTTGGACTATCACGTTTCACTCAAATGAGAGAAAGAATCCGGAGTTCCAACATCCATCGACGATCAAGAATCAGGGACGCTGTCACGTTTGCCAAGGTGTCAAAAATCAGATGGGCTGGTCACGTAATGAGATTTAAAGATGACCGCTGGACTAGAGCTGTTACCGACTGGATTCCACGGGATGTCAAAAGATCGCGTGGCCGCCCACCTACCAGATGGTCAGACTTCTTCCTCAAGATCGTGAACGATCGGTTTGAGGCTCTTCATGTTCCCAGAGCGAACAGATGCCATTGGGCTACACTAGCACGCGACAGGGACAATTGGAGATGTTACTGGCGCCCGCTCGAGCAAATCGCCGACTAACAGGAAGTTAAGTGATTAAGTGAAATATTTTTGACTTTTTGGGTCACACCCAGCAATCCAGCAATTATCAGGAGTTACTCCTGGTTCTGCACTCAGGAAATTCTCCTGGCAGTGCTCAGGGGACCATATGGGATGCTGGGGATAGAACCCGGGTCAGCATCGTGCAAAGCAAAACACCCTACCTGCATACTGTTGCTCTGGTCCCCTACCATCCCTCTCAGACTCCGCCTAGCCACCCCCCTCACCGCTTTAGACTGCCTAGCCCCCCTCTTTAGACTGCCCACAGCCCAACCTCAGACTCTGTCCACAGCCCCACCCAGACTCCGCCCACAGTCCCCGAGACCCCGCCACAGCCCACCCTCAGGCTCTTCCCACAGTCCCATTCGGACCCCACCCACAGTCCCTTAGACTCTGCCCACCGCCACCCAGACTCTGCCCACAGCTCCCCCTAGACTCCTGTCCCCCGGCACCGATGAATGGACCCCTGCACTCCAGGAACTTCGGTCCCGACCCTGGAGGGGCTCTCAGTGTGGGCAGTGGGGTTCTGGGGACAGGGGCTCACTGATGTGGTGCTGCTGAGTCCCCAGAGCTCAGCCCTCCCTGCTGCCCCCGCCCCAGCCCCAGGCAGCTCCCCTCCTCCCCTGTGGGTGCACAGGTCGGAGCCCGGGTGGGACCTTCTGGACGACCCCCTTCTCTCTAGCAAGCCCTCCTGGTTCCCGGGAGCCTCAGCCCCCACTTCCACCTGCCCGGGGCCCTCAGTGGACCTCAGACCCCAGGCCTGCAGTGACCCCTCACTTACTGGGTGACCCGTAGTCCAGCTTCCTCCCTCTCATCATCACCACAGGAAGAGGCTGGCCACTGGAGGGGGCTGCACTTGCCACTGCCAGCAGCTGCCCCGTGCCCTACTGGGACCCGCCTCATGCCAGAGTCTGCCCCAAGGCCTGGCAGGGGACCCCACAGTTGTGTTGGGGTGCAGCTCACTAGGAGCTGGGCCAGGTGAGAGCGTTTTTGGGGGCGTTTTCCTCATGCGCAGCCTGCGGGCGGGCGTGTGCCTGGTTGACAGTCAGTCCTAAGTCTCTGCCCCCTTGCTCTGCCACCCTGGCCGACCCACACTCTGCTCTCCCTGTCACACCTTTGTCGTTTCTCACGTATTTCTGTGCCTGGCTCCAAGGCCAGGTCACCCCAGGGCCCGCTGTCCTGTTTCTGCATCACTGGGAGGGCACCCTGGACTCCCAGGCCCTCAAGCCAGGGGGCAGTGGGGCTTGGAGCCCGAGACCATCTGCCCTTGGGGCTCCCAGGTGCAATTCTGGGCCTCCCAATGGCCGGGGTGGCCTTCCCCACACTGGGTCCTGGTTCTGTTTCTGCCTGGGTGCCCGATGGGTAAACTGAGGCAGAGAGGAGTCTGCCCCGAATCCACGCGGCTGGGCGAGGGGAGGACTCAGGTCTGGGCTCTGTGCCCTGTGCCAAGGGCGGATGGCAGCGGGGGGGGGGGAGAGGGCCTTCTCCCTCCTCCCAGAGCTGGGGCAAAGCCTGTAGAATCTCAGGGGTCCCGGGCCTACTTCCAGCTGGGAGACCCACAGGAAGTGCCCCCTCAGTGACCTGTCCCGGGTGGGGTCCCGCCGTGCTTCTCAGAAAGCCCAGGTCAGGGCGGACTGCGCTGGGGACGGGGCATGTGTGTTTGTGCTGGCAGGTGCCTGTGGCCCGTCCGGCAGTACGCACTGAGCTCCACCTGGACACAGCCTGGACACAGCTGGTGGAGGGGGGTGGACGCTGGGGGCTGTACCCATCAGGGTCCCCACCCTCCTGCAGCGACCGTCCCCTTAGGGACTCCCCAGGACCCCCCACCCTGTCCAGCTCCAGCCCCCCAATCCTTGGGTCCCCAGAGAGGCCCCTTGGGCTACAATAGGACCCACAGAGACACAGCGTCTCGTGTATTGGGGGGGTGCCACTCTTCCCCCCCATGCAGTGCCCAGGGCATGGCTGGGAGTGGGGAGCAGGTCTCAGGGAGAGGTCAAGGGAACCCTGGGTGCCCGCATGGACAGGGAAGAGCGGCAGGGCTGGGGCTGCAGGAGGCCTCTGAGGCTGAGGCCAGGCGACCCCCTTCCTGGGCAGCACACGTGGCTGCTCCTTTTTTTTTTTGCCTTTTGGGTCACACCCAGCGATGCTCAGGGGTCACTCCTGACTCAGGAATTCCTCCTGGCGGTGCTTGGGGGACCATATGGGATGCCGGGGATCGAACCCGGGTTGGCCACGTGCAAGGTAAACGCCCTATCTGCTGTGCTGTTGCTCCGGCTCCCTTCTTTGAGGCCGAGCAGATGGTCCTCTGAGTGTCCCAGGCACACTTGCTTGATTGGACCAGGCCCACCAGGACAGCCGCCCCCGCCCCCCCCCGCCCCGCCACAAGGGCCTCAGTCACTGAGTCTTTTTTTGTGGGGATTTGGTCACTCCTGGTATGCCTGGGCCCTCCAGCCACACACTCCCTCCTCTGAGGCCTGGGGTACCTGCGCGCCCGTCTGCCCACACAGACGCGCCTCTTTCTCATAAGGCGGGTGCAGAGGGAACTTTGGTCCCAGCGGAAGAGGCAGAGGGTCTGGGAGGCGCCAGGCTTGGGCCCGTGACTCAGCCTCTGGCTCTGGGAGCGCAGTCTGTGGGGGTGAGACTCCCTGCGTGTCGCTAATGGGAAACAGCCCCTCAGTCTGGGGCCCGTGGAGGGAGCCCCCAGGCCCCGGAGCTATGCTGCCAGGGCACGGTTGGGTGGGCATTCCCCAGGGACCCCTGCCGGGCTTGCTGTCCAGCTGCTGCAGAGGTGCCCGCCAGGGGCCTGTGCAGGGGCCGGGCCTGGGGTGCAGCCGGGCGGGGCAGGGTCAGGGAGCCCAGCCTGGGGTGCTGGCAGGTGGGCCCAGCGGAGCAGCGATGGCCAGCCTGCAGCCCAGTGACCTTGGGCTGCTGGCTGGAGTTGGGTGACTGTGTCTGGCTGCCCTAGGGCCACTGTGCCCAGCTGTGCTGTGGTGCCCTCGGTCACGGTGCCCGATTGTCCTGCAGTGTCCACTCACCAAACTGCCCTTGTGCCTTTCCAGCCAAAAAGCTCTCTGCTGCCCCCTGGTGGGGAGGCCGGGAGGCTCCAACGCTGAGCAGAGCGGGCTCTGGTACCCCAGAACGGGGTCTGCCATCCCTGCTTGGGCCCCCTCCCCTCCAGGCATGAGGCGGAGAGCGTGTCTGAGCTCACTGTGGTTCAGGCTGAACAGACACATGGAACCACGGGGGCTTAGAAGTGGAGTTTATGGTGCCATGTCAGGGTCCTGCCCGAATGGGGGAAACCCCACCTGCACGGGCCAGGCAGGGGGCCGCCGGGGATTCGGATTTGTCCCCGCTGCTCCCTGACACAGATGAGGGCTGGGGGCGCGAACGACTCTCCTTCCCCGGGCCCCGCAGGCAGCCGACCCCTGAGCTTCACGTCCTGCGCCCAGGGGCCGGCACCCCGACAGCGGGCACTGCCAGGGTTGACCCCAGGGACAGGCAGGGCCCACCGCAGCCCAGGAGCCTGCTCGGAGGCCCCCGTCCCCAAAAACCCTGGTGAGGGCAGCAGCAGCCATGGTCAGACTCGGGGGGTGGGGGCCTGGCCTAAGACACCCTAGGGCCTCTGGGCGAGGTCACCAGTGGCCCCAGGTCCAGCCAATGTGTCCCACTGCCCAGAGCGTGAGCGGGTGTGGGGACTCTGCTGGAATTAGAGCAGCGGGGCCTGGGTCAGCCAGGGTGCCCGGCCGCAGGGTCGCGGGGCTGCCCAGAGGCCCCGGCGGCCACGGAGCTCAGCCGCAAAGGTCCGGGCCTTCTGGTAGAAGAGGAGGGAGGCCTCACGGTCACGCAGGAAGTGGTGGTAGATGGTGGCCAGGCGTCCGCACAGCTTCATTTGCGCCTTCTTGCTGCCCAGGTCCATGGCCGCAGCCAGAGCCAGCTGGTAGTACCCGGCAGCATCAAAGGGGTCCTGCAGGGAGATGGATGTGGACCTGAGTCCACAGCTGCCCACCTGGACACAGCTCACATGCCGCAAGGCCAGCACAGCCCGAGGCCACTCGGAACCTTCCCTCGGGCCTGCACACTGCTCACACCCTTCCAGAGGCCTCAAATATCCCACACTGCAGGGACCCTTCTGCACCCACCCTGGCCATCCCCCTGTTGCTCAGCACCTTAAGGTACCCTTGGGTGGGCCAGCCCCCAGGGCCAGCGGAAAGCAGTCACAGGCCACACAGCAGTCGCAGGCCACTCTGCACTGCTGGGAGCCAGGTGGATTCCCGGGTGCTGCGAGGACATGGGGGCCAGGCTGGGCAGCAGGAAGCTGTGACAACTGGGCTGCCACAGGAGGGCTCCCTGGAGGAGGGAACTTTCCAACAGAACTGAAGGAACAAGCCAAACTGGTGCTGTGTGCATGCATGTGACTGTGCATATATGTGCCCATGTACACATGTGTAAACGGGTGATGGGTGTTGATGAGTGTGTGTGCACACTTATCCACTGCTGGCCCATTGCTGCACATGTGCTCACGGCATGTCCATATGCGTGTTATACCCACACGCTTTTCTACACGTTCATGCATCATGTACAATGCACATGCTATCTACATGTATCAACAAGGCACATGCACATATGTGCTGTCTGCCACGTGGCCAAACACATGTGTTCTCCGTGGGTGCCTGATTGCAATCCAGGCGCACCCACACATGTTCCCTGGGCTCTGCACACACACATACGGTGGGTGTGTCCATGCATGCCCACGTGCTCACGTTTGAGTGTCCGGGCATGAATCATGCCCATGATCCCCAAGTGAGCAATGCATGTGTGTGTTTGTCCGTGTCTGTCCGTGTCCACAACACCTTGGACCTGCACAGCAGATGCCTCACACAGCCCCTGGCCCCACAACCCTCCACCCTCTGTCCCTCACACAGTCCTTGTCCCTCACAAACCCCTGTCCCCAGACCCCTGTCCCCAGATAGACCTTGTCACCCTTCCCCCGCATGGCCATTGTCCCCATACCGACACTGTCCCCCACACAACCAGTCTCCCCGCAGCCCCCAGCCTGGCGGGTCAGTGGAGTCCCCCTGGGCCAGGCGCAGTACCACTTCCGACCGCCAGGTGTCAGCAGCACACAGCCAAGCCCTTCCTGGGGTGGGGGAGGGGCAGGGCTGTCCCTCCCGCTGCTCTGCCCGGAGAAACGTCCGGTGTGGGCGCCTGGAGGCTGAGAGGCAGAAGGGGGTACCAGCTCCTGCTTCCAGCTCTGAAGGGCTGAGGTGCAGGGCTTGTCGGCATTCCAGCTTCTCCGAATGGGGTGACAGAGCTCACCCACCCTCACCCCATCCCAGCAGGCTTCCTGGAGGACTGGTCTGCACCAGGCAAGGTGGGTCTCGGGGAGGAGTGGTGACCTTCCCCAGACCTCTGGAATCCTTATGCCCCTCCCACATTCCTTTCATGGCCAAAACCTGCTTGACTAGCCCAGTGAGCCTGGTGGTCACCTCCGGGCAGCCTCCCTGATACACGCACTTTCCCTGTGCCCAGCTGGGCCCTGCCCACCTTGAGCTCATAGAAGATGATGTCGCCCAGCGCCTGGTAAACCTTGACGTAGTAGAGCGCCTCCTCGTCGGACTGCAGAGGGGAGCTGCACAGCGCCAGGGCCTTCAGGTAGAAGTGCTCAGCCAGCTCGCCCTGGCCCAGGCGCTGGTGCAGCGCGCCCAGCCGGTGACAGGCCACGCGTTCGTTCAGCCGGTGCCCTGTGGGGCGGGCGGGCAGGCTGGTGGGTAAGTGAGGCTGGCGGAAGGGCATGCCTGTCCCCTGCCCCACCTGTCCTAGAAACATGCGGGGGACACGGGCGCCGGCTTCCAGCCTGCCCACAGCCACTGGATGGGGTGTGCACCTGTCTTTCCAGGAAGCCCTGTCACCCGCCCAAAGGTCAGGGAGCCCCAGGCCCATGCGCTGGCCATGTCCACCCACCCGGGTGGGGGATCCCCTGGACATGGAGAGATCAGATGCCTCCAGCTGGGAGCCCCTCGCAGAGAACAGGGTTGTATGGCCGACAGAGCAGAGGCTGAGGGCCCATGGGCAGCAGGGAGGCATAAGGGGGGGGGACAGTAGGGAGGGGTGAGGGCTGGGGGCAGCAGGGAGGGTTGAGGGCTGGGGGCTGCAGGGAGCGGTGAGGGAGGGGCAGCAGGGAGGGGCGGAAGCCGGGGCCAGGGTGCGGCTCACCCAGGGCGACACTGAGCCCCAGCGCCATGTGGGCAAACTCCAGCCCCTCGCGGGGTGTGTCCAGTTCGGCCAGCAGCACGGCCAGCTTGTTGCATAGCCTCAGCTCCGCCTCCTGGTTCCCCGTGGTCACCGCCAGGGGCAGCGCCCGATCCTGCCAGCAGGGGGGCGGTCAGGCGCGGATCCCCGGACGCGCCTCTGGATCTTGGTGTCCCCACAGGGGACCAGGGGAGAGCTCAGGCTGCGATCCCAGACGGTCCTTCCCGGCTCTGTCCAGGGCAGGGGGAGGCAAGAGCCCCGGGGGTCCCCAAGGCTCTGGGCGAGTGAGGGGGCAGTGCTGCCCTGTGGGTCCCCGTGGAGGGTTCCGTGTGGTCACTCACGCGGTAGAAGGACACAGCTTTCTCCCGCTCCCACGCCCCATTGAAGAAGATGTCCCCAGCCGCCTCGAAGAGCTCCAGCCCCAACCGCGGGTCTCCGGTGTACAGGGCTGCGTTCTGGGCCACCTGCAGGGACAGGACACCTCAGGAGGCCCAGGGAGGGGAGGGCGGCCAGTCGGAGGGTTGAGGGCTGTGCAGGGCAGGGGCAGCCATGGGGAGTAATGTGCAGGGGAGGGGTGAGAGGGGATGGGGCCGGGGTGAGCAGGTTTGTGGTGCAGAGGTGCAGGGGGTGGGGTATGGGATATAGGACACCAGGGGCAGAATGCGGGGTGCAGGTGTGAGGGTGTGGGGGTGGGGCACAGAGCTGGGAGGGGTGTGGGTGCAGGGGTGAGGGGTGCTGGGTCAGCGCAGCGCACAGAGCCAGGAGAGGTGCAGGCGTGAGGGGCGCGGGGTGCAGGGGCGAGGCACAGAGCTGGGAGGGGCGCGGGGCGCGGGGCTCGCCTGGAGGTACAGGTCCACCAGCTCAGTCTGCCGCAGGATGTAGTAGATCTTGCCGGCCTGCATCCAGGCATGCGCCTCCTTCTCCTTCTGCTGCAGGTCGATGAACACGCCCAGGCTGCGCTTGGTGTAGTCCAGCGCCGATCGGTAGGCCCTGAGGAGAGGCTGTGAGCCGCGGCCCACCTGTGCCCGGGAGGGGCGGCCCCCCGCCAGGCCTCACCGCTCGGTGCCCAGTGCCAGGTAGAGCTGGCTGATGGTCTCCAGCAGACGCCCCTCCAGCCGCTTGTCGGCCAGCGTGCGGGCCAGGGAGAGCTGCAGCTCGTGGAATACCACACTGCGGGCCTCGCTGGGCATCACGGCACTGTAGAAGTGGCACAGACGCTGGACGGCCTGCAGCTGGCCTGGGCGGGAGGAAGGGGTCAGCCGCGTGCCCACGCCGGCCGCTGCTGCCCCTCCGCGCTTCCACGTGCGTGTGGGGATACAGAGCCCAGGCAGCTGAATGGTGGACAGGGCTGGATGCCGGAGAGGGACGCGGCCACCTCCACCCCCACATTGGCTCCCAGTCACCGTTTGTCTTTGAGGCCTCGGCGGGCCAGGACCCAGAGACCAGGTCTCGAGGATCCCCCACCCCAGCCGGCACCGTCCCCCATGGTCCAGTGTGAGAGCACCAGCCTCGCGTGCTCAGGGCCACGTGGGGTCCCCAGCACCGCACCGCGCAGCTCCCGGGGACGGCCAGCGAGCATGACAAATGAGCAGGACCCAGAGAGCACTAGGAGTGGGCACTGCCCACCCGAGACCCAGCAAGGCACCTGCGAGGACATGGGCCAGTGTCCACCAAGGCTACTCTGTGGAGGAAGGGGCTGTCACAAGCACAGGGAGACCCCGGCCTTGGCCACACGCAGATAAAGCCTGGCGGGCCGGCTGGTGGAAACCAACCAGCAGGTCAGGGATGAGGAGGACAGGTCACTAGCCCCCACCCTCGCAGGGGAGGAAAAGACGAGGAACTGCAGAAGGGAAGCGGCAAGGGGAGCGGCAGCGCTGGAAGCTTCTCCCTGAGGACGCAGCAGGCGTGGAGGAAGAAAGAAGGCGGGGACCCGCCTCCCGATGGACTGGACAGAAGGGTCAGGGGACGGCAGCCCCAGTCTCAGGGAGGCACAAAGGGCCCGGAGCCCCGCAGGGCGGCACAGGCTGTGTGGACCCTGGCGGCGGGGGTGGGAGACTCGGAGCAGGATTCTGACTTGTGGGGGCTCCCTGGATGCCCGCAGCCTCTGAGGGTTCTGCAGCCCCCAGGACACCCCAGTGCTCTGGAGTGAAAGGCCCGGTCAGACAGCTGGGACCCCCCAAGCCTGCCTGAGCCCCTGGCGCCCCACCTGCCTTTCCCAAACTGGCATCTCCCTGAGCAGAACAGGGGACACTTGCCCCAGGACCTTTGCACACACCCCCTTCTGTGCCCCCATATCCATGCTTGCTGCAGCCTCCATGACCCCGACTGATCAGCCTCTCTGTCACATGCCAGGCTGGGCTGCTGTCCCCCAGGGACCCAACAGCTGTTTTCTGCTGTGACCACAAGGGGCACTGGGTTTTGGGGGTCTTTGTGGGAAGGGGCAGACCCAGTCATTGTTGGGGAGATGTTCTCTTCTCCCCGGGCCCCAGCACTCACTGTCAGGGAGCCCCGACCACCCGGCCCGGCCCCTGTCTGCCTAAGCCCTCACAGAGGCTGGGCCTGTCCTGCACGTCCACACTGGGACACTGACCCCGGGGACCCTGTGCTGACTTACATTCCACATGGCTGGACTCCACGGCCACCAGGAAGGCCCACTCGTAGTAGCTCTTGCCCTGGCAGGGGCGGCGCCCACGGGTGCTCCGGTCTCCAAGCGCCAGCAACACGCGGGTGAGGTCGGGGCCGCGCTCCTGGCCGGGCAGCCCCGAGAACAGCCTGGCGGCCTGCAGGAGGTAGTGCTGGGCCAGGCGCCCCGCGCCCACCTGCCCGCACAGCCCCCCGAAGTTGGCCAGGACCACGGCCTGGTTGCGCGGGCGCCGCAGGGCCCTGGCCAGGCGCAGGGCGCGGTAGTAGCCCTCAGCCGCCTGCCGAGTCCGGCCGGTCCTCCGCAGTGCCATGGCCTCCACGTTGGCCATCACGCCCTCCTGCTCCTCGCTGGGCGTGGCCGTCTCCCGCACGGCCTCCAGGATGCCCAGGACCACCAGGCTCTGCCCACGGAGCAGGTGCAGCTGGGCGAGGGCCAGCAGATAGTCCAGCACGTGGAGGCCGCCAGCCTGGGCTTCGGCCTCCGCTGCCTGCACCGTGAGGACAGCGGCCCGGCCGTGCTGCCCGTGGAGGCTGTGCAGCCGTGCCAGGCTGGCACAGAGCAGGCCCTGCAGTGCCAGGCCCGGGCCGGCCGCCAGTGCCTGCCAAAGGTACCGGGCTGCCTGGGTGGGCAGGCTGTGGGCCCGGGGGCTGTGGCGCTGGACCAGGTCCACGCTGTGCAGGGTGCTGGCCAGGGAGCCCCACGGCAGCAGCGAGGCCACCTTGGCGCAGCTCAGCGCCAGGTTTGGCAGGCACTGGCGGCCGTAGGTGGCGGCCAGGAGCAGGGCGCAGTGGACGGGCCAGCAGGCGCGGGGGCTGCCCAGGGCCTGCTGCAGAAGCAGCAGCCGCTCCAGGAAGGGCAGGGCCCGTTCGGGCTGCCTGAGCCGGATGTGGTGCTGGGCCAGCAGGAAGCAGGCCCGGGCCTCGGCCTGGGGGCTCCGGCCCACCACAGCCCCCCGCAGGGCCTGCCTCAGCAGCTGGGCCTCGGCCTCCGTGCCGCCCCACAGGCCGGGCGTGGCCAGCAGCAGGGCGGCCGCCTTGGGCACCACCTGGGCGCTCTTCTCCCGGTTCTTCTGCTTCAGGTGTACGGCCGCCAGGTGTGCGTACACGGCTGCCACCAGCGCCAGGTCGCCGAAGCGCCCGCCCAGCGCCGCCTGGGCCTCCTCCAGGTAGACGCGGGCCTGGGAGAGCTTAAGTCTGCGCACGCACAGCCGGCCAAGCAGGAGGCAGAGCCGGGCCAGTGCCATGGCGAGACCGGCCTTCTTGGCGGCCGCCCGTGCCTGCGCCAGCCGCCCCACCAGCTCCTCCTCGTCCCGGCCGCCGGCCGCGCGGCTCGGCCCGGGCAGGGAGAGGAACCGGGCCTCGTGCCCGGGCGCGTTCAGGGCCAGCAGCTCCGTGTGCAGGGTCTCCGGGTCGGCCCAGCTGTCGGTGGCGGCCAGGCAGAACCACGGCTCCTCCGTGTCCGGTACCGTGGTGCCCGTGGAGTAGCTCTTGGTCTGGAGATCCCGGGACTCCGGCTCCGCGCAGCCGCTGGGGCAGGACTTGCATCGTTCTAGAATGTTCTTCACCTTCTGCAGGGTCTCATGTGGCTCCGGGTTCAGGCCAGGGGGAGACATTTCTGTAAGTCACCGGACCCCAAGGTGAATGAGGGTCAGGTCAGAGACCCCGACCCTGTGGTGGCAGAACCCTCCCAGCGCTCTGGGCTGCTGCCCCCTCCCGCCACTGTGGACAGTGGAGGGGCCCGGCAGGGCTCAGCTGTGTGGGGTCTCCCGGGGGTTAGCATAGTTCCCTGCCACCGTAGGGGTGCCTGGCCTCTCTGCCCAGCAGCCCCCGGGAAGGAGGGCCCGTGCCAGCCCTGCCCGTGTTCCCCCCTGCCCAGTGCCGTCCTGGGGTGAGCTGGTCTGGCCGATCAAACCCACCTGGTTCCTCAGGTTGTTCAGCTTCTTCGAGTGTGTCTGCAAGGGAGGGGTGTGGTGTCACCGGGGCCCCTCACCTGGCCAGCTCCAGAGTGCCCACCAACTGCAGCAGCGCCCGAGTGCCCCCGGGAAGCAGACCCCAGCATGCCTCCCGAAGCCCGAACGCCATGCACGCTGCACTGGGGCACCCAGAGAGGCTGCTGGAAAGCAAGGGCAGTTCTCAGTGTGACTAGGAGTGGGTGTGTGAGCGTGCACGAGCCTGAGTGTGTGCGTCTGAGTGTGTGCACTTTGTGTGCAGACCTGAGGTACACCCAGTTGTGTGCACGAGCCTGAGTGTGCACTTGGATGAGTCCATAAGCCTGAGTGTACACCCGGCTGTGTGCATGAGCCTGAGGGTACACCCTGGGTGAGTGAATGAGACTGAGTGTACACCGGGCGTGTGCATGAGTCTGAGTCTGTACCCCGGGTGTGTGACAGCCTGAGTATGCACCCCGGGTGTGTGATGAGCCTGGGGGGGCACCTGGTGTGTGCATGAGCCTGGGTGTGATCCCGGATGAATGCATGAGCCTGGCTGTTCCTGTGAGTGTGTGCAGGGCCTGCGTGCAGACATCTGTGAATGCACTTGTGCTGTGTGCTCAGGTACTTGTGCATGTGTGTACACCCTGGGAGTGCCCGTGAGTGTGAGAACACCGTGACCATATATGTGTGTGCACGTGTGACTACCATGATTGTGGGTATGCACATGTCTTTGTGAGCCCCGGGCCTGCATGCATGCAAGTGTGACTTGCATGTGTGTGTACATGTCTGTGAGTGCATACCTGTATGCTTATATGTCGATGCATATACTCCTGTGACCTGTGGACACGTGAGCACACATTTCTTGGTAAAATATAGGTTCATACACGTGTGGCTGCCTCTCAGCGTGTCACATGTGCAGACCAAATGCATGTCTGTGTGGTGTGCACACAGGTGTGCACAGATGTGTGCAACATGTGCATGACACAGGAGGGCACACACCTGCGTGTAGGGCCTTGTGTCTCTGTGAATGTGCATGTGATGTGTACGTGCAGATGGTGGAGTGTATCTCTGTGTGTGAGGACATGTGACGTGTGTTGTCTATACTATGCACATGTGCAAGTGTCAATCTGATAATGGGTTCATACATATGTGACAGATGAACTTTGGTACATGCGTGTTCACGGACAGGCAAGTCCACACAGGTGGCAGGTGGCCCACACACATGCCAGGTGTGTCCTGCAGCTGCGGGTGCACAGAGTCATGCCCAGTAGGAAGAGGTCAGCCTGGAGGCCGGTCCAGGGCCTGTAGGGGCGAGTAAGAGCCCCTTCCCCTGAGGTCTCACCAGGTTCACTGGCCACGGCCAGTGCAGGACAGCTAAGGCTATCCCTGGTCAGTGCCCCCCACTCATGCAGGCTGACCGGGTCAGTGCCCCCGCTCACCCATGCTGTACTCTGTGCAAGTGTCCAGCCCTGCCATCCTGCTCAGTAACCGGCTGGCCTCGTCCTGGGGCAAGTGTCCCTGGCTGCTGAAGAAAGCGCGTTCCTCCTCGCTCAGGAAGATGGCCTCCTCAAGCCTGGGAAGGGGCAAGCGTGTCAGCCTGGGTCGCCAGGCCCTGCCCCAGACACCCAAGGTCAGGGCAGAGACGGGCTCCAGGCCACCGTGCCTCATAGACCCCGGCTCCCACGAGCAGGCACTGGGGGCCTTCATACCTCAAGTGGACTCCTGGGCCGACCTCAGAGCCCCACCAGAAATGCCCGTGCCCTGGGAGGCTGGCGGGCAGCACAGGCTGTCCACAGCCGTGCTTCCCTGCCCCCACTCCTCACACAGCTCCCAGCACTGACAGGAGAGGGAGCTTGGGAGGGACGGAGAGCCTGGGAATCTGTGTAAAGGACTAAACAAAACGTGACAGGAAACAGCGAATGTCCTTTGCTGAGAACGAGCTATTCTGAGATGCGAAAAAAAGTCTTGGCCTAGTTTTGGGGCATCTGAGAAAACAACAACCCCTCCCAAGATTGGGAGTGCCTCAAGGAGAAACCAGGACTGTGTCACAGGAGGGGAGGGAGGGGCGGGGCAGGGGGCTCAGGTGAGGAGGGGCAGGGGTGTGGGCCCCCGACTCACTCAGACAAGCAGTCCTGCGTGCAGATGTCGCTGGTCCGCACGAAGCCCACCTGCCCGGAAGCTGTGTGTCTCCCCACACACCAGCGCAGGCCAGGCATGCGGGCGCCCAGGAGCTGGACAGAGTCCCCGGCCTGGAAGCTCAGCTCTTCAGGGCCTGCACCCTGGCAGTCGGCCACAGCGGAGGCCAGGCCCACAGCTGCAGGGAGTGGGGAGGGGGCTGGTCAGCACTGCGGGGTCCCTGGGCCGGACCCTTGTGTCCTGGGGTGTGGTCCCCACAGGAGCCGGAGCATCAGCCCAGAGACAGGCTGAGTGGCCTGGGGCCGGTCCCCTCCTCCCGCTGGGCAGGGAGCTGCCAGCACCTGCCTTCGTCTGGTGCTCCATTAGCTGGGACAGGAAGTACCCCCCACAGGGCCCTGCTCTGGGTGTGCCCTGCTCCGGACTGGGGCGCCCAGGGTCGGGGACCAGAAGGGAGGGCACCGGGAGGTGTCAGGTGAGTTTGGTCTGAGGGTGCATCTCAGGGCCTCCCAGTTGAAGCTGGGTCTCAGCCTCCGGCTGGGGGAGGCTTCTAGACAAGCAGAGAAGCTTCTAGAATCCTGGTACCTGCCACCCCTGACCAGCCCTCCATTTCTGCTTACTTTGAGGGGGTGGGAGGGTGTGCTGAGGCTCCTGTGTGTGTGCGGGGTAGGGGCCTCTTTGTGCCAGGCCTCCCTACCCTCACCTACCCTCCCTGGGCTCAGGGGACACTGACCCATTGGGGACACATCTGGCACTGCAGCTGCATCTTCGGGCTCATCGCCAGGATCCCAGGAGCCCCTGAGAGCCCACCTGGAGTGGACGAACAGACAGGGCCCTCTGCACAGTGCTGAAAGCCTAGGGGCCCTGGGCGGGCCAGACACCACAGCTGGCACCAAGCATGCCCACCCATCCTCAGCCACGCCCCTGCCCAGGCCCACCCGGTGCCTCCCCTTTCTTAGGCCCGCCCTGGGGGGGCCCTCGGAGTGGGAGAGAGAGGTGGAAGAAGGGGGAGGGCAAGGAGGGGGAGAGAAGGGAGAGGTGGGAAGAGGGTAGGGAGAGGCGGGGAGGGCTTGAGGGATAAGGTTGGGAGGGATGAGCAGGCAGCCCAAGGAGGAGCAGGGTGGTGAGAGCTGGACTGGGATGTGGGGAGGGTTGGACCGCCTCGCACCCTAGCTCTGCACGTGGCCCAATGGATGGCAGGAGAAAAGCGGGGGAGGAGAGAAGCAGGGAAGAAGCAGGAGAGAAGGGAAGAGTGAAGTGGGGAACAGGAGGGGCAGGGCTGAAGCAGGGGTGAAGCGGGGGAGCAGGGGTGAAGGAGTGTAGGGGAGCAGGGGTGAAGCAGGGGGAGCAGCGGAGCAGAGGTGAAGCAGGGAGAGCTGGCTGGTACCTACTGATGGAACGGAATCAAGGGCTCCGGGGTGGCCGTCTCTTTGTCAGGTGAGCTAGAGCCGGGGGCCGTCTCTGCCTGTGGGACCCCTGAAGTCCGCCTGAGGGGCTGGGGGCCCGTGCCTGCCCCCGGGGGGCCAGTGATTGTCCTCACACGGTGGTCAGGACACAGGACAAAGAAAGGCCCTTCAGAGGGGGTGGGGGAGCAGCTTGGTCATGCACATTGATTGACTCAGGCCTGTGGACCCCTGCCCCGGGAACGTCTCCCAGGACCCCCGCCGGTCCCCGTCTGCACCCACAGCAGCTGCCCAGACCCCGGGGGTGCCATACCTGGGTGGGAGGAGGGGCTGGGCTGGTGTCGGGATCCATTAGATTCCCGGCCTCAGTTTCCCCGCCTGTGCTGAGCGGCCTCCCTGCTCAGCCCCTGCCCTGGCTCCCATGCACAACCGAGTATGCCTCAGCTTCCTGCTCGCCCCACAGTGTCCTGTGCCCTAGTGTCCAGCAACCCCCTGTGCTGGTTCCCCCAATGCCCAGTGCCCATGCCCAGGGGCTGTCTAGCAGTGGGGAGGTGCCCAGTGCCCGGGGGGGCATCCAGCAGTGGGGCAGTGTGGGTCGCACTCACCTTCCAGGGCCAACAGGTTCTCTTGCGTCCGCTGCAGGGTAGCGGGGTCCACATGCACGCGCACGGCCACCTCCTGGTCGTCCCCAGGGGGCAGCAGCCAGAGGGCCTGGTCCACCAGCATTTGCTCCAGGCAGTGGTGTGTGAAGCCTGGGGACAGGCCGGTTCACCCTCTTGACCAGCGCTGATCCCCTGGGACCCTCCCTGCCTGGCTCCAGGCTGCATGCCCACTTGTGGTCACCCATTTCCCCGGGGAAGGGGCACTGAGGCCCCGGGGCCCTCGGTCTCTTCCTCGGGAGCCCAGGGAGGTCCCTTCTCAGGCTCGGCCAGAGGCGGGCCAGGTTCTGCCGTCTGGGGCTTCCGCTGTCTCCCCAGGAAGTGTTGGGGAGGATTCTGCTGCAGGGCTGGGGGCGCAGGGAGCCGTCTGAGATGGGGTCTGGGCCTGCTGTGCCCCCGGGGCCTTGGCAGCGACCTGCCAGCTCCTGCTTGCCATAAAGCTGGGTGTGTGACGGGGCCGCGCCTCACCGAGAGCGTGGTAGGTGGAGAACTTCCAGATTTCCTCAAACGTCTTAAAGGTCACCACGATCTGGTCCTGGTCGCTGTGGATGGACAGCAGCCTGGCCGACAGCTCCTAGAGGGGAAGGAGCAGAGACTGGAGCCAGGAGAGTGGGGCACACCTGGGAGGACAGGGCTGGGAGCACTCAGGGTCAGGAGCCCTGGGCCAAGAACTCTGAATCAGAACATTGCAATGGGAGCACATGGCATCTGGGAGCACTCGGGGCTGGGAGCATCTGTCACCAAGCGCTCTGTAGGCTGGGGTCACTCTGGCCCTGTGACCAGGAAGGAAGGGCATGCACAAAGCCAGCTCCCCTAGGGCAATCCCTCTGCAGCCTCAGCTCCGAAGCTCACGGCGGTTTCTGCTGCTGGCTTCCTGCTCACCCGCCCAAACCACGGTGCCCCAGAAAAGGGCCTGGGGGAGAGGGGTCAGGGTGCTGGTGAGGGGCCTTGGAGCCACACACAGGGGTCAAGTCAGGAGTGAGGTCACAGTTTAGGACCCAGGGCCGGGCATCAGGACCTTCCTCCTCCAAGCCCACCCCTCCCTGCCCATGGTGAGTCCCTAACCCACCAGGCTCCGCCTCCGTCGCCCCAGATCGCACCCTCCCCGCCCCATTAGGCCCCGCCCCACTCACCCAGATGCGCCTCTCCCAGGCCCCTTCCCACTAGGCCCCGCCCCTGCTAGACCCAGCCCTGCTCGCGCTGAAGCGCCTCTCCCAGGCCCCGCCTCCAAAGGCCTCAGGCCACACCCAGGCCCCGCCCCACCTGCCTCGTGCCCCGCCCCTCTCCCAGGCCACGCCCTTTATTGAGGCCGCACCCCACTCACCCCTAGGACGTGGGCCAGCTCCTGGCTGTCACTCTCCAGTAGGCGCAGGTGGCCCCGCAGTGCCCGCTGGAGGTCAGGGTCCGGCCGTCCACTCTGTCTCCTCACAGCTTGCAGCCTCAACGTCAGGTCTGCAGAGCAGCGCAGGTCAACCGTGCAGGGCTAGGCCAGCCCCAAACCCCGCCCCCCAGCCCGCCTCACAGCCCGTGGCCCACATCCCACCCAACCCAGCACCGCCACCCTGCGCCCAGCACCCGGCAACCCGCACCCAACCCTGAATCTCACATCCCTTGTCCTACACCCCGCACCCCACCACAACCCTCCTCGCACAGCCACCACCACCACCGGGGCCACTGTGCCTGCAGACGGGGCTGTGCTGGGGGTCAGAGCTGAGTCACTCAAGTCCAGCACATTCCACCTGAGGCAGGTCTCCACTGCCCTCAGGCACCCTGAGGCCAGGCACCCCCACATCCCCACCTGAAGCCCTTGCACCCCCCCGATCCTGGAAACCCCATTCAGATTGGAATAAGGTCCGAGGTGCGCCCTTGTGCCACTGAGGCACCCCATCACTCTACAGTGCCTGGGCCGGCAGGGGGGAGGGGAGCCCTGGGCGCAAGGCAGGTGGAAGGGGGTCTGGTGAAACAGCCTGTGAGGACAAGCCCCTCCCCACGCACTCCAGCAGAAGACTGGGGTGCAGGCCAGGCCACTGAGGGTCCCGGAGTCCCACATTCACTCCAGCACGTGGCATGGCCAGAGCTGCCTGCCGGGAGGGTCCCGGCGGTCGGCATGGCACCGTGACCTGGTGCAGGGGCCTTGAGGGGAAGCAGCAGCCTCCCACAGGCGCCCCCTGAAAGCGCCGTGCCCACACCCCCAAACCACAGTCCCCAGGTCCTGCCTCTGGAGACTCATCTGGCCCTCTGGGTGCCTTGGGGGTCTCACTGGCCACAACAAGGGGTTGTCATGAGGGGGCAGTGCTGGCTCTCAGAGCGCCTCTCCCACTTCTGCAGAAGAGGCAGCTCCACTGGGGTCGGAGACCTGATGTCTGCGCTCAGCACACGCGCGGTATCTCACAGCTCCCAGTCTGGACCCGCACAGGGTGGGGGGAGCGGGGAGTTGTCCCCCAGTGTCGGCTGGCACAGGGCAGGGGGTGTGGGGTGGTGTCCCCCAGAGTTGGCTGGCAGGGGTGCCCACTCCATGCTGGCTTCAGTCTTGAATCAGTGAATAAGGCGGGTTTCTGGGACGGCCCAAAAGGGGAAGCGCCTGGTGTCACCCTGATTCCCTCGGCCGCGGGGGCCTGCGCCAGAGGACTGTCCAGGCTTCCGGGGACAGGGTGCCATGGCCCTGCGTGTCGCAGCAGATCCTTCAGGGGACCCTGTCCCTGCCATCGGGTCCCCGTCCCCTTCCTGGCCCAGAGGACCTGGGCCTGTGAGTGGCTCCAGGACCTCCCTGTCCCCCCCCCCCCCAACTCCAGCAGTCCCAGAGGGACCCAGGGAGCAGGCGAGTGGGGGGATGGGAGGTGAAGTGGACAAGGAGAGGGACAGGAGTCAGCTAGGCGCCCCTGGGCACTCACCGCCCCTGACCGTGGCCACTGCCTCTGCAGGCCCCGTGTCCTCAGAAGGGCTCATGTCCTCCTGGTGGACGCGGCTGCCCTCGCTGTTGCCTCGCCACGGTCCTGCAGGCCCCTCCGTCCCCGCCAGTAGCCTCAGTGCTGAGGGCTGGGCATGGCTGGCGGGTACCTGTGTGGGGAGAAAGGGTGTCAGAGGGTGGGGGCCCCTGAGGTCCGGCCAGCACTGCTGGGGTGGGAGTGGGCAGAGGAGAGGGTGCTCCCCTCACCTGACCCCGACAGGAAGCCCCCGCAGCCCTTCATGGCAGTGCAGCCCCACTGGGGTCCCGTGTGGGGCTGAGGTCCGTGGTGCGGCCCCCTGAGACGCCAGGAGCTGTCCGGGCTGGCTGCAGACGCTCATGGCCACTGACCCGAGGTGAGGGCAGCAGAGCTGGGGTGACAGGAAGGGACTTGGGGACTGGGAAGGGACCTCACGGCGACCCCTGGTTTGGTCTCCTAAGTGACCTCGTGAACCCCGGCAACCCCTCCCTGAGCTGCCTCGGGGTCTCCTGGCTTGGCAGCCCGGGGGACACAGCACAGCAGGGCAAGGTCCAGAGCCCGCTGCCAGGAGGAGGAAGCGGGCTGGCAGGAGGACGTGGGGGCCGGGGGTCTTCAGGCTGCCCTCGCCCTCTCGCGGGTGTCCCCACCTCACAGACCGGACAGCAGGTGTGGCGGCCCCGCGCCCCCGCGGTGAGGGCGCTGCTGCCAGTGCCGGGCACCGACCGGGAACTTGCTGTGCCCTCGCGGTCTGCACTGACCCGGGAGGAGGCGGGCGCTGGGCCGGCTCAGAGCCTGGATCCCCGGCAGGGGCTCCCCGCTGCCCCCACGCCAGGGGCTCCCCGCTGCCCCCACGCCGGCCATCCCAGCAGCCCGGCTCGTCCCCGCCCTCCGGCCCTGCCCAGCTGGGGGTGTGGCACCTGCAAGGTGGGGGCCAGGAGGCCTCGCCTGGCCCCGCCCCGTTTCGCAGTCTCCGCCCCCACCTCGTCCTTCAGACCCGCCCTGAGCTCACCTGGGCCCGCGTGCACGAAGGAGGAGCCCCGACAGAAAGCGGGGTCAAAAGCCGCCCCGCTGCCAGCACCCACGCCCTGGCCTCCCCCCGCCCCGCACCGACCCAGCCCCACGCCCCGGCGCCCATACCCGCGCCCCGCTCTTCAGAGGCCGCTCCCAAGCCACCCGGCCAGGGGACAGCCGATGCCCGGTGGCTCCCCGTGCCCCTCCGGCTGGCTCCGCGGGCAGGCCCCGGTGGCCGGGACAGGCGGTGGCTGTCCCCAGCCTGGCGGGTCGCATGGCGCTGCACTGCCCCGCTTCCGTCCCTACTTCCTCCCGGGCAGGGGCCGCGCCACTGCCCCTCGCTCCTTCCCGCTCAGGCGCACTCCCGGGCTCCTGACGGGGACTGAGGAAGTGACCCTGCGCCAGCACGCCCGCCCACCCTGCCAGCCTCAGCACAGCCGGTTCCGCTTCCCCTCAGCATGCAGCACGCAGGTGTGCGGGACATGCCTGCACTTGGGAAATCGCACGCACAGACACATATGTGCACATGTGAACATGAGCACATGCACAGACACATGGCATGATATGGACACACCAACTTGCCTGTGCAGGCACAGCAGACGCACACGTAGACACAGACGCAATCACACAGGATCACACACACGCGCATACAGTGATCACACATACCCACGCACAGACACACCTCATACAGTCACATGTGATCACGCACCCTCACTCAGTCACGAGTGATCAGACACATCCTTACACACAATCACACTTGATCACACGGACATGCCCGCACATGCGCACCTCTGCACACACACCCGGGGTTCTCTCCCAAGCCCGGGCCCATGGTCTGGGAATGGGTCTGGCTCCCAAGTGCAGAAGCCTCTGGCCGGGAGCTGGGGTGGCCCCGCCGGTGGGCAACAAGCCAGAGCGGTCCTGCTGGCCCCGGCCTGTCCTCAGCTCCCGCCTCTGCTGTCAAGTCCACCCCACAGGCAGGGAAACCGAGGTCTGACGGAGGAGACGCAAACATGTGCACAGGCCCTGGGCTGTACAGGGGGTACCGGGACCACTGCCCCCAGCGAGCAGATCCCCCAACTAACCCGGCTGCAGGAGGCTGCCTCCTGGGGGCTGGGGGCTGGGTGCTGCTGGCTGGGTGCCTGGTGCTGGGTGCTGCAGGCTGTGGGCAGGGGGCTGGATGCCAGGGGCTGCGGGCTGGGAGCTGGGTATGGAGGCACCTGCTCCATGGACACTTGCTGGGAGCGAGAGTCCAGGCTCTGGCCAGTCGTTCAGGAAACGGCGTTGAAAGGGGGCGTGGACAGTTATGTCCACTGAGTGAAGTCACTTCCCATCTGGGGTGTGTCCCGCCGGGACAGGGCCCCACATCCTGTTTGTCTCCGCAGCTGTACCCCTGGCCCCAACCAGGGACTTTCCCCAGCCCCCCCCCCCACCATATGTGCAGGCGCATGTGCACACACACACACACACACACCCCGGGGCCGAACTCCCTGCCCCTGCCCAGTGGGGCCCGGTCCCTGCTGGGCACTTCCCCATGAGCCCCTCAGCCCCAGGGCACCCCTTTCAAAGGTCAATGGGGTTCTGTGCCCTCTAGGGGTGCTGCCAGTTCAAAGCTCTGAGCCCTGCACAGCTGCAGTCAGTCCTTGACGACCAGGCCAGACTGCTCCTCCAGACCGTTCCCGAGCCCCTCAGAGAAGCCGGGTGCAAGGCCTGTTCAGACGGAGCCGGGGTGGGCAGTGTCCCTCCAGGTCAGGGACAGACAAGAAGCATCTGCAAAGGCAATTCCGACTCCAGCTGCTTCCACCAGCTCTGGGCCAGGATTCCCTCTTCCCAGAGGCTGCAGTCTGCCCCCAGGGCCCCAGATCCTGAGTGCCTGGTCTCTGTGTTCTCTTGCCCTTTGCCCCTCAGCAGGAGGCCGGAGACCTAGGGCTCCTCCTAAGGGGGGACCCCAGGGAGGAGGGGCACCGTGGAGGGCTGAGATGGCTCGGCTCAGGAGGCCAGGCAGTGGCCAAGAACCAGCCTCACCCACATGGATGGTGCAGACAGTGCTGAGAAGCCGCAGGAGGGGCGGGGCACCGAGGGGCGTGGTCGGGGCAGCAGAGGCGGGGCCGCAGGAGGGGCGGGGCACCGAGGGGCGTGGTAGCAGGGGCGGGGCGTCAAGGGCCTTGCCTGGTCAGGCGGGGCTGCAGAGTGGGGCAGCGGATCAGGGCCCAGAGGAGGCCAGGTGGGGTCCATGTGACCCTGGGCGCTGTCTTGCAGCCTCACCAGGAGTTCTTGAGCGTCCAAAGGTTGGCCTGGCCCCTCTGCCGCAGGGGGAGCTGCCTCGGGACCCCTTTGATGACGCTCCCCTACCATCTGCCTCCCTCTTCGTCTCCCCCCGATGCTGTCACACTCGTGGGCCAGGCACAGACGGTGTGGGGGCTGCAGGAAAGGGTTAAGGTCGGGTACTGCGGGATGCAGGGAGGTGGCTTCTACAAGGCTCCAGGACAGGGCTGGGCCTGCCGAGCCCCCCAGACACCCAGTACTGCTCCTGGGGGCTCCACAGCACGTCCCATCTCCCCAGTCTCCCTCCTGGGTCTTCACCCACTAGAGGTTCACAGACAGGTGGGGAGACAGACCTAGGGCCAGAGTAATAAACTAGGTCATGCCCTTCTGCCCCATCTCTTGAGGAAGCAACAGCCGAGAAGACTGAATGGAAAGCAGCAGCAGAGGGCGAAACCTAGGAGGACTTTCTGGAGGCAGAGACCCCTTGGCTAAAGAGAAAGCAGGCCAAGAGGGGGCAGAGAGGCCTTCCCAGGCCCAGGGCCAGCTCAGAAGAGCTGGCAAAACTGACCGGAGGAAGCTGAGAGAGGTGGGCCTGAGGGCTGGTTAATCACTCACAGTGAATCTCAGGAATGCTGAGCTGGGTGGGGGGGAGGGCCTTGGACTTCACTCCCCAGGGGCCTGGGTCTTCAGAGCTCCGGGCGCGGGGACAACACCCCATTCCAACCAGGGCCCCAGGTTGAGGGGCAGGAAGGGCAGTGAGCAGGTGGGCCAGGGGACGAGGAGCAGGTCTGAGGGACGTTGTCAGAGGCAGCCTGGCCAGGCGCTGTCGGGGTCACGAAACCCTCATCAGCTCCGGTGGCCAGTGGCGCGTGGCACGGCGGACTAGCACCCTGTCAGGTTTCCCAACGGGGAAACTGAAGCTGGGGGAGCGGCAGGTGATGAGCTGGCTGTCCCCCACCCCCGCACTGTCAGCCAATGGGACCCTCAGTGCCCCTTAGAGACAGGCAAGAGACAGTAAGAGACAGGCAGAGAAGACCGCCTGCCCCAGCAGGTGAGCGCCCCCTGCTGCCCGCGAGCTGCCCTGCAGGCTGGTGCTCAGCTGTGGGCCTGGGAAGGCAAGTTCCGGCCCTGCCCTGCCTGGACACAGACCATCTGGGTGGGGTTTCAGGAGCTGCCCTTTGCGGAACCAGGGTCTGCCCCCAAACCGGCATCCCTGCCCCATCTGGGCTGTGGGTGTCCGTGGGTCATTGGTCCTGCAGGACTCCTGGGCTGGAGTCCCTGCACAGTGCTCCTTCCCACTGTTCCGTGGGGAGGGGCTTCCATGGGCAGAGGGCTCAGAGGAGGAGACCCCCTTGCACCCCAACGAACACCACTTGGGTGGCGGTGGCATGAGGAGAGCAACTTGGTCTGTGTGGGCCCTGGACTGGGCGTGTGACCCACCTGCTGGGTCCCCAGGGCAGGCTGTCCCCCCAAGGGGCCGGAGCAATAGCACAGCGGATAAAGAGTTTGCCCTGCAAGGGGCTGACCCAGATTTGATCCCCGGCATCCCATATGCTCCCCCGAGCACCGCCAGGAGTAATTCCTGAGCGCAGAGCCAGGAGTGACCCCAGAGCATCGCCAGATGTGACCCAAAAAGCCCTCCAAGAGTCAGTCTGGCCCCCCCAGGCCAGACTCTTTCCCCACAGGTCAGGCTTCCCGCCCCCCCCTCCTGCCTGCCTGGCCGGGGGCATAGATGACAGTAGCCTGGAGGGGACAGAACTGGTGCATGTTAGGGCTCTGTGAGCCCCTGGGCTGGCATGGGGAACAGACACGGGGGAAGATGAATTGGTTTGCACAAACACATGCCCCGCCCTGCCCACATACCCAGGGCCCTGGCCAGGAGGCCCGCAGCCCCAAAGCTCAGGCCCTGGGAAAGGCAGACTCACCCATTATTTGTTAGGGTGCAGGAAAGGGCAGGGAGGCCCAGCGGGGATTTGGGAGACTGATCCAGATGGCCCTGTCCCCAAGAGGGCTCAGGCCGCAGGGGACAGCACCCAGGAAACTGGCTGAGCATCTGGGTCAGAGCTCAAGCAGCAAGGCAGGGCCACCAAACTGCCTGATCTAACCAGAGACATCCAAGGGGACTGCCTGAAGGAGGAGCTCCCAGCTAGGCAAGGCAGCCAAACTACACATGCAACATATTCCTGGCCTAAAGTGTGCATGTCAGAGTGCGGGAAAGGGAGATATGAGTTAGAGAGGGGTAGACAGTATACTAACAGAGCATAGACAGATGGCAGAGGAGAGATGGTGGAGCACAGACAGATGACGGAGGAGATACAGTGGAGAACAGACAGATGATGGTGGAGGAGAGACGGTGGAGCACAGACAGATGATGGAGGAGGAGAGACGGTGGAGCACAGACAGATGGCGGAGGAGGAGAGACGGTGGAGGACAGACAGATGATGGAGGAGAAGAGACGGTGGAATGCAGACAGATGATGGAGGAGAAGAGACGGTGGAACGCAGACAGATGGTGGAGGAGGAAAGACGGTGGGACACAGACAGATGGGAAGAGTCAGAGGATGATTTTCAGGTGGCAGACGATTCTTGGATGTAGGATCACTGGTGAACGACGGGCCTGCTGACATGAGCCGCAGAGCCCGGGGCCAGTGGAGCCGGAGTGTGGGAGCAGCCTCGCCTCCAGCAACTGTCCCCTCAGGTCCCTGATGACAAGGACAGGAAGCCGAGTGGCCGAGGGCAGAGAGGGCCGTGCGTGGGGCGGGAGACGCAGAGAAGCGCTTGGCACACGGCTGCACGCTGCTCCCGCGCCTGTCCTCCTGCTCCCTTCGTCCCCGGACGCAGGCCCCAGACTGGCCCAGGCAGATGGGACACACCCTCAGCCCACACCCCATCCTGGCTTTAGAGGGGCTTTCTGGTCGAATGGTGCGCACGGGCCCGCCACTTAACCCTTGCTTTGCTTTGAGATCATTCTAGATTTTCAGGGAAGTTGCAGGACCCCAGGGGAACGTTCGCCCCTTTGGTTTTTGTCCCTCCTAGAGGAGCTTCCTGTCTGCGGAGGGGGCGCTTTTCCAGTGAGGGACTGAGGTGGGAACGGCGGCCCTTCATTGTCAGCCCCCAAAGCGGCCGCAGGACCAGGAAGTGGGTGCCGGACCAGGCTGGGGGCTCCTGTTGGGGCCAGAGCAAAGGTCCCCCTGAGACTCACGACAGCCATGACCCCATGAGCCACCCACCGACATTCCCCCCACTGGCCTTGACCGAGGAGACGGCCGGGTCACAGTCCCTAGCGGCGCACCCAGGCCCAGCCAACTGAGGCCATTGAGACGAGGGATGGGACCCACAGACCGGCAGCGACTCGGGGATGTGAGCGTGAGAGCTCATGGGTGTGAGCACAGGCACCACAGACAGGTGCCAGGTAAGGGCCCTCCCTGTCCCCGCGTTCCCAGCCCTGCCTTCAGGGATGACGGCGTAGAGGCAGCAGAGGGGAGGCCCCCCATGGGACATCCCCCACCAACCTGCAGCTTCCTCGTACCCCAGCAGGAACAGTGGACAGTGACCAGTCCCCACCCTCCACGCCATCAGAGTCAGCGGCACCCTGGGCTCAGGAACCCCAGGGAGATGCCGTTCAGGAGGGCGCGGGAAGCGTGAGCGCATGAGGCCGACTCCAAGGCCAGGGCGGGGAGCGGGGGGCTGGGGCGGCGTGTGTGTGGGGGTAGACTGAGGCGCACCGCCCCAGAGGATGCCCTCGCCCCCCCCCCCCCCCCATGTGCTACCCTGGGCAGCCAGACCACTGCCCCTGCCAGGGAGGAAGCCAGTTGGTGGGAGGGCTCAGGCAGAGGCTGGCTCTGCTCACAAATCCCACGCAGGGGACACTGAGGCAGAAGTTTTGGACCCCCCTTCCTGCTCCTCAGGCTTGGGGTCCTGATCCCGTAGGTCAGGTGGCTGCCCCACAGGAAGGCAGAGTCCCAAGCACGGTCCTGAACCCCTGCTGCACCTCCTGCACCCCTCCCCCACCTCCCTCCTTCCCCAGATCCCTATGCTGGGAAGCCCCCGCCCCCAGGAAGGGGCAAAGGGAAGGGAGTGGGGAGGAGGTCAGGGCATGGGTGGCCTCAAAGAAGGCCAGGCCTCCAGGGACCCTGGCATGGGCTGGAGCTGCTGACCCCTGGAGGGCATCAAGCTGGGCCCCCGGACCCATGCACTCTTCTCAGGGAGGGGACCGGAGGAATCTGAGTCCCCCCACCTGGTGCTCCCCACATCTAAGCGGGGCCTGGGGACAGACAGACGTTGGGACAGAGCCGGTGGAGGTGCCTCCCCTCACCCTGTGGCGCCCAGCTGCCCTGAGGCTCCGGGACGCAGCCCACACCCTCCCGGCCCCACTGTGGCAGCAGGTGACCCCAGGGGTGGGGGGCGCAGGGGAGCAGAGGCTGCTCCTGGTGCTGACCTGGCCAGATGTTCTAGAACTTACCCTGTCGGGGTGCAGACGGGAGACCCCGGTGGCCTGACCGGCAGCGGCAGGAAGGCGCAGCCCGGTCCGCCCTCCGCCCAGGCAGGTGGCCGCCGCTGCCCATTGGCTGCAAGCGCACCCGCCCCGGGAAGGGCCCGGCCGGCCTTGCCCCTCCTTATCGCCGGGGGGAGTGTCCGCGCTCCGGCAGCATTCCCCAGCCAGGCCGGATGGCCTCCGCCTCAGGACACCCACCTGCCTCTTGCCCGGGGGCTCGGAGGGGGAGGGGGAGCTGAGCGCCCCCAGGCAGGCTGGCGGGCGGGCACGGGAGGCCTGGACTCCGACTCAGCCTGACCTGAGTCTCCACGGGGCTCCACGAAGGACCTTTATCCAAGTGGTCTGGGGACTCCAAGGGGCAAGAACCTGAATTTCAGAGCCTCTCACTCTGGAGCCTCAGTCTCCCCTCTGCAAATGGGGAGGGGTGAGGCGGGGGTGTGGGATGCACCCCGAGAGGCTGATGCCCCCTTCCCTCAGCCCCGTGGGAGACCTCAGCACTGGGGGTCCTGGAGAAGGTGCCAGTCTGCCCCAGGGACCCGCCAAGGACCAGGTCCCCGATGGAGCTCCTGTTTGGGGGTTTTATTTTTGGGCCACACTCGACGGTTCTCAGGACTGACTCCCGTCAATGCTCAGGAGCCCACATCTGAGGCCAGGGACGGAACCTGGGGTGGCTGCAGGCAAGGCAAGTGCCCCACCCGCGGGACTGTTGCTCTGGCCTCAAACAGGATGTTTGAATTCAGACACAGGCTGCAGCTCCGCCAGGGCCAGCAGGGACCCAAGTCCCTCCCCAGCCAGCACCTGGAGTTCCTATCCATCCGGATCCCTCGACCGAGTCTGTGGGCAGTACAGGCTCCACTACAGGGGGAACTTGTGGGGGGGGGGGGAGCCCAGGCACAGCTGCTGCATGCATGCACTTGTGCATGTGCATATGTACACACGTGTCTGCATGTACATGCGTGTGCACACATGTGTGCATGCTTTTGCTGCTACCCCATCCTACTGGTGCTTCCAATGTTCCAGGTATCCCCAAGTCTCAGACACCCCAAGCCCCAGGTGTCCCCCTTCCCCAGGTGCCCGCCTGGGGTGATGGGCTCTGGGTGTGCTCCAGGGTCATTGGGTCAGGGGGGCGCTCAGGGGCCTTGCTGGGTGCTGCGGCCCCTTCCATGAGAGTGCTCTTTGCAGCTGGAGGCCAGGCTTGTGCATCCTGGAACCCGGCTGCGTGCAGTAGAGACCATGTGATGAGCCCTGGGGTACCCGGGATGCAGCCTGCGGACGCCCTGGGCGTTTGCCATTCTGTGGCCTATTACTGGGGACCCTGCTGCCCCCCTCCACCTACTTGGTCCGTTTGCTCAGCCCACCACTGCCCTCTGGTGGATCTTCTGGGAACAACCGCAAGTCCCTGGGGTGCTCTGGGAACTCCCCTGTGGATGACAGGCTGGCTTGTGAGGTTGTGGTCATCAGGGGTCCACCTGGTTCTTCCGCTGTTAGGACCCCAACTCCCTCTCACATTATCTCTCCGACCTTCCCACAGACAGACGGGATTTGGAGGGAGGGGTCTGCTTTTGCTCAGGGGCGCAGGGACGACCTCTCAGCTCCTTCACTTCCTGCCCCGTCCCCAACGGGTTCTGCCAGCCACAGTGACCCAGGCAGCTGAGAGCCTGTGAGCTGGCGGAGCAGAGTCCCTGTGGGAGAACTTGAGGAGTTGTGGGCGTGTGAAGGGGGAGGGCTGGCGACCAGCGATGACTGCCTGCTAGAAGGGAGTCTGGGGTCCCGGCAGTAGGTCAGTGGGGGCAGCCCCAGAAAATCTCAATCCTTTCCCCCCTCCCCCCCCCCCCCCCCCCCCCCCCCCGGCTGTGAAGCGATTTGCTCCCGGGACATATCTGGAGGGGAAGAAACATCCAGAAACCTGCAGCTGGGGCGAGGTTTGCCTGGGGTCTCAACTCTCCAGGGCCCAGGAGTGGCCGCCCATCAGGTCACACAATTCAGGCTCCCCCACCCCCACCCCTCCCCACAGCTGACTCAGACCTGTTTGTCCCTGGCCCCTGGGGTGCCTCGCCAGTCCCTGAGGGGGTGGGGCTGGCATCCTTCCAGGGGGGGGAGGAGGGGTCGGAGGGGCGCTGCAGGTACTGAAGGTGGGCGGGCCGTGGGGGGGAGTGAAGAAGATGCCTGAAGCCCGGGTCCCCAGGGGTCAGGCCTGATCAGGCCTCCACCTCTTCGGACCCAGGGCGTGGCCCCCTGCGGGGACAGAGCTGGCTCCCACATACACAGCCACACCTGCTCAGGGTCAGCACGTGGGCACGTGTCCTTGTAGCGTCCCTTCCTCTCCCACACTTGGCTGCAGCGCACAGGCCCCGGGGGCAGGCACCGGAGCGCGAGGCTGCGAGCAGGCGTGTGGGTCGGTTTCTGGGTTTCGTGGGCGTGCAGGCAGAGGCACAGGGCTGGGGCTCCAGGGTTCCGTTCTGCCCAGAGGACCCCCGGCCTGGGCCCGGGCACCAGGGCCAAGTGCTCCCCCAGTCCGGCACCTCGGACCCGCCGCCGCCGCTGGGCGTGTCGGGTGCAGCGCGCGGTCCCTCCGCTGTCCCCGACCCGGCGGGCAGGGCGCCGCGTCCCAGAGCAGCAGGGGAGCCACGGCCGGAGGTGTCCACGCCCCTCCAGGGGCGCCGGGGTCCTGCGCCTCTTTTCCCCCCGCCGCTTGCGTCTCGCCGGGCAATCGGGGCCAACCGCGTGCCCCGCCCCGCCGCATTTTCCACGGCAGCCTGGGCACCCGGGGACTCTGGCCAGGTCTTCAAGGCTCACCAGCCTCCCGAAATCCGCAGACTGGCCACCCGCAGACCGCGGGCACAGCCCAGCAGACACCCCGCGAGGCGCCGGCGCCAGCGCCAGCGCCGGGAGGCCGCAGCGCCGGCGGCGCTCCGCTGCGACCGCGCTCGCCGCGCGGCATGCTGGGATTTGTAGTCATCCCGCGCGATGCCGGGCGCGAGAAGGCGGGGCCACGGCGGCCGGGCGCCTACACTTCCCAGGGGCCCGCGCGCGGAGCCGCGGTGCGGTGCGGGGCGGGGCGGGGCGGGGCGGGGCCGGGCCGGGGCCGAGGCGGGGCCGAGGCGGGGCCCGAGGGGCTGCGGCGGCGCTGCGGGCGGGCGGCAGGCGGGCGCTGACCCCGCGCGCACCCGCTGACCGGCGCGGCCGGGGGCCAGCTGGCCACTGCGGGCGCCGCGCCTGCGGGGCTGCAGCTGCCGCGGAGATGAGTGCGGGTGAGTGCGCGCGAGGGCCGGCGCCGGGCGGGCCGGGGCTGCACCTGCCGCCCGCGGCCGCAGACCCCCGCGGCTCCACCCAACTTCGGGTCGGCTCGTGCCGGCCGGGGCGCTGCCCGCTCGCTGCCCGCCGCGGCGCCCGGGTGGCCGCTGTCCGGCGCGCCCGTCTCTGCAGCGCCGTGCCGGGACTGGGTCGCGGCAGGCTGCGGAGGTGGCCGCGTCCCGGTGTCCGCGCCGAGGTCGGGCTCCGCGACCGTGCGGCACGCGCGGAGCGGGGTCGCCGACCCGCGGGCCGGGGGCGCCGAGGCCGCGGCCCCCGCCCGAGACCCGCCCCGGGGTCTCTCCCCGTCCGCCCCGGCGCAGCTCCGCGCCGCCCGCGCCGCCCGCGCCGCGTCTCGAAATCGCGCTCGGCCGCGGGGCGCGGCGCGGGCCGGCGGGCGCGGGGGCAGAAGCGCGGCCCGGGACCCGCACCCCGGCTCCGAGCCGCCGGGCGCCGGAGATCCCCAGCCCGTCCGTGGGGCGCGGGCACGCACGCCGGCCGGCGTGACTTGGCAGCGCGGCGGGGCCGAGCGGGGCCCTGCGCTCGGTGCGCGGGGCTCTGGGCCGCTGCCTGGGGCGCGCGGCCGGGGTGCGGGCGGACCCCTCCCTCTCCGGCGGGGACAGCCCCACCCCAGGGGCGGCAGTGGGCGCCGCGAGGGCTGGAGCAAACGGCGGTGGAGGCGGAATTCTCTGGAAGCCGGTTTCTGGGATGGCCAAGCTGGTGCCTGGAGGTGGTTGGGGAGCAGAGCGCCCCCGGACTTGGCAGCCCCTGCTCGGAGGTTCTGGCAGGTGCGCGAGTGGCGGGGCGCAGGAGTAATCCTATGCTTTCTGGAGTATAATTGATACCTCCCGCCGTGGGCCCGGCCGGCCGCCACGCCCCCCGCCCCTCCCCACTCGCTGTCCTGGAGATGGGCACAGTCGGGAAGGTGCCAGTTGGTCTGCGGGTGGTCCTGCGCCCATCCCAGGGGTGTCTGGTGTGGACAGCTCCGTTGTGAGGTGGGCACTGGCACACTGCGGGGTGTGTGGGTTCTCCGCAGAGCGTTTCGGCTGTGTCCCTTCAGCTTTGACCCCTGGGAGCCCTGCCCATGGCAGAGCTGGCCAAGCCTGGGGGCCCTGCAGGACCCGCCTGACCCTCCCCGTTGAAGCCTGCCTTTGCAGTGCTGAGCCCTCCCCTCAGCCACTGGTCCCGGGGGCCGCCCCAGGGCCGCCCTGCCGGTGGCCGGTGCTTGTCTAAGCAGCTCCCTGGAGAGGGGCGTCGCCTCCCCCCCCCCCCAGGCCCAAGCCTCAAAGGGTCCTGGGCCCCAGTCTCCCCCGTGGGGAAGGGAGCACTTTGCTCTGTGTGCACCAGCGTGTGGGACCTGGGCCCTGACAGGTCCTGGTGGTCACCCCGGGGCCCAGAGAGGGGCTGCCAGACTCAGCCGGGGGTCAGGGGCTTCCTGAGCTGAGGCTGTGGCCTGCCAGGCAGCAGCCCCAAGTGACCAGAGGCCTGTCAGGGTGCAGCCGCATGCAGTTCCCCCAGGGAGTACTGCAGCATGGGACACAGATGTTGGGTACCCCCCTGCCCTCTAGGATGGGGACCTCAGGCCTGTGACCATCACAAGGAGCCCTGCTACCTCCTGCTGTGAGGACAGTCATGGCTCAGGCCCATGTAGCACTGAGGGGCTAGAGTGGTCCAAGAGGGGGAAACTGAGGCTGTCTGGGATGCTGGGGGCACCCTGAGCCCAGGCCCTTCTCTGGTGGCCGCTGGCCCAGAGTTTGAAACAGGTGCGTGTCTCCCCCAAGCCCGGGCACGTTCGGGCCCCGCCAGCACCGCGTGGATCACGTGGGCCCGAGGTCGTGCCTGTGCGTGAGTTGCACGTGGGGCCCCGCCTTGTGTGGGTGTTGGCACTGTCCGGGAGAAGGAAGCACTTACACCCAGTTTGATTTGGAAAACAAGATCGGTGCTGAGTGCCTGGAGCCACGGGGAGGGCACAGCCTTGGGGGGGAGGGGTGGCGGGAACCCTGCTCACCTAGGCCGGAAGCAGCAGGTGATTGTTCGCTCAGGTCTGTGGAGGGTCCAGACTCAGGCTCCAGGGCGGTTCCTCCAGAGCACGTGGGTCCTGGGGGTCATTTGCTCTGTGTGTGTGTGTGTGTGTGTGTGAGCAGAGGTATAAATGAGGATGTAAATAGGTCTGAGATGTCTGCGTGTAGGTGAGTGTGTGAGTGAGTATGAGTGATATTTGAGTATGTATGTGTGAGTGATGTACGTATGTTATGTGTGATGGGTAAGTGTATGAGTGTGTCAGTGTGAATGTGTATAAATGTGTATGATTGTGTGTGGTTGTAACTGGGCGTGTGATTGTTAGTGTGTGATTGTGTGTGAGTATATGATTGTGTGTGAGAGTGTGCGAGTGAATGTGTCTGATTATAACTGAGTGTAGTTGTAAATATGTGGGTGCATGATTGTGAGTGTGTAATTGTGTGAGTGATTGTGTGATTTGTATGAGTGTGATTATGACTTACTGTGTGTGATTTTGTATGAGAGACTCATTTTGTGTGAGAGAGGTTGTGAGTGACTGTGTGAGTGTGTGTGTTGGATAGTGTGTGAGAGTGAATGTGTTATTGTAAGTGTGAGATAGTGACTTACTGTAATTGTGTGTGTGAGATAGTGTGTGAGAATGAATATGTGTGGTTGTAAGTGTAAGTGTGGTTGTAAATAGGTGTGTGATTGTGAGTGTGAGTGTGATTGTGACTTACTGTGATTGTGTGTGAGTATGTATATGTATGTGTGTGAGTGGCTGTGTGTCAGTGACTGTGTATGAGTGTGTGCCTGTGTATGACTGTGTGAGTGTGTATGAGTGTGTGAGTGACTGTGTGACTGAGTGTGTGTATGAGAGTGTGAGTGTGTGTGACTGTGTATGAGTGACTATGAATGTGTGTGAGTGAGTGAGATGTGTGTATGAGTGTGTGTGAATGACTGTGTGTGAGATGTGTGTATGGGTGTGTGTGAGTGACTGCGTGTGAGAGTGACTGTGTAATAAGTGTGTGTGTAACTGTGTGTGAGTGACGAAATGACTGTGCGAGTATGTGTAAGTGTATGAGTGTGTGACTATGTGTGACTGTGTGTGACTGTGAGTGTGAGATGTGTGTATGAGTGTGTGAGTGTGTGGGTGGCTGTGTGTGTGAGTGACGAAATGACTGTGTAAGTATGGGTGTATGAGTGTGTGTGATTGTATGACTGTGAGTGTGTTTGAGTGTGTATGAGTGTGTATGTGAGTCTGTATGTGACTGTGTGTGAATGTGAGATATGTGTGACGGTGTATGAGTGTGTGAGTGTGACTGTGTGTGACTGTGAGTGACTGAGTGACTATGTGAGCATGAGTGTGCGTGACTGTGTATGACTGAGTGTGTGATAGTGACTGTACGAGTGTGTGACTGTGTGTATGAGCATATGACTGTGAGTAGGTATGAGTATATGAGTGTGAGCGTGCAAGAGTGTGTGTGATTGTGAGTGTGTATGAGTGTGTGAATGACTATGTGTGACTGTGAGTATGAGATGTGTGTGTATGAGTGTGTATGACTGTGAGTATGTGTATGTGTATGACTGTGTGAGTGGCTGTAGGTGTGTGATTATGTGTGATTGTGTGTGTGAGTTTGTGTGTGACTGTGTGTATGAGTGTGTGAGTGATTGTGTGAGTGTGATGCCGGAGAGGCCCTGTGAGGGCCAGGGTCCTGTTGGGGGTGGCGCCCTCGGGGTGAGGGCCTTGTGGCTGTGGGGGGCGTGGGCGCCTCGTCCAGGGGTCCCCGCCTTGCTGCCCCCTTTTTGGCCCGGGCCTGTCCTCGCACCTTCTCACGGGGCCGGAGGCTGCCGGGGGCCAGCGAGTGGGCAAGGGAGCCGGGATGGGGCCTTGTGCACCCCCCGCTGGGATTCTGCCCTGGGCTCGGACCTCCCGTTATGGCCAGGTTATGGGCACAGGGACAGCCCCCGGCCGGAGCTGCAGGAGGGCCCCCACCCACCCATGCCTGCCCCAGGGTCCCGAGGTACTGTGGGCTCTGGGGCGGGCACACGATCGTTTTCTTGAGTTTGGGGTTGGGTGAACTCCCAGGGGGGCCTGTGCCCTCACTACGGGTGCCGCTGCCAGTCCTTCTGGGCACCCTTGTCCGGGAGAGCTGACAGCTGGGGGGTGTGAGGATGAGTGGGGACAAGGGAGGAGGGTGGGCACAGGTGTCCTGCTGCAGTATCAGTGGCAGCTGCAGCTTGTGGCACGGCCACCCTCGAGAGCTGCCCTGGAAAGCCGGGCTGGCCCCGATGAGCCCTGCTGCCTGGGACCCTGGCGCCCCGGGCAGCGGCAACCCGAGCCTGTTTCTACCCGAGGCCTCAGGTGCGGCCAGGCCTGCAGGAGGCTTGGGTGTCAGGGCCGCCTGCGCCCTCCCTTGGGAGCCCCGGGGAGGGACTTGCTTGCCTGAGGTCACAGCATGGGGTCCCAGCATGGGGTGGGGCGACCTTCCAGCCACAGCCCCTCGAGGGCTCCCAGGGGAGCTGGCCACGCAGCCAGACCAGGGCTGCCAGCTGGGATTCCGGCTCAGAGCTGTTCCAGAAGGATCCTCCGTTAGTTGTGTGCTGAGCGCCGACTGTGTGCAGACTGCAGCCGGTGTCCCATCACTGTGCCCAGTTCTGGCTGCTGAGTACCAGCTGTGTACAGAGCACCAACTATATTAAGCACCAGCTGTGTGCAGAGCACTGGCTGTCCCGAGCATCAGATGTGTGCAGTAGCCAACTTGCAGGCAAAAGTAGGGGAAGCGGATGCTGGGAAGAGGGGAGGGGGCTAGAGGGGAGGCGGGCAGAGTCCAGGCCGGGACTGCCCCCAGGTTCTGCTGCTCTGACGGAGCCGCTGGCCTCTGCAGCATCGCAGCCCTTGCTGGGCGGGGTGGGGAGCCCAGGGCTTTGGCCGCCTCCTGCCTGCTGCTCAGGGGTGCCCTCT